CACACACACACACACACACTCACACACACACAAGCTGTCTTACTTGAGAGGTCATCAATCTGTTGTTATCTTTTTATACAGTCTATGGTTGTTACCTAGAATGAACACCACAGGACTTCTGCCATCTTGTGGTTTGTGTTAGAATAACACTGCTCCTAACTGGGCATGGATGTGATGAACCACAATTGTTTTATAACCTTTGGAGAACTTTAAGTTCTTGAGCCTGAAGATGAGGTTTAAAGCTCCTTCTCTATAAACATGCACTTGTGTTGCATATTTCCCCCCATGGTGCATCAGAGCTTAATGCAGCGCAGCTTCAGAAAACATAATAAACATCTACATCAAAACACAAACGCAAATAAATAGAAAAGATGCTGTAGATATTCACAATATAACCAAATACTCACAGTATCCATTACAAGGACAAACACAAACATGTCTGTGGTACTTTTCATAAAAATGATGAGATATTGTAGTACTTGTGAGGTCACAGGATGTTGAAGTCAAAGCTGAGTGAAAGTATGTTTTACAAGTGTGTTACTTGATAAATAAAATAAGTCATAATAGGTTCAATGACTTTATTTCTGTACGAAATCAGGCCAAACTAATTCATGAAATAAAATATTCACATAGAGTTCAGTGAAGGAGTCTAAACACAAGCCCGGTTTAAATCAAGATGCCAGAAACATCCTTTGACTTGCAAAGTGTTTCCTTGGACCAGATCCTGTGATGTTCAGTAAACACTTGAAGCATCAAGGCCCCAAACAACGAAAATCATCCCAACATCCAAATGACGTTTTTGACTTCACTTGGTTTTCAGCCCTTCGGGTAAAATGTGATGAACCTATTTTCCTTGAATGGCTCATGAAAAGCCAAACATAGTTATACGGTAACATTACTGTTGTAATGAGACACAGTCATGTTGCTTGGAAACACAAACAGGAAACAGGCTGTTGGGGGGATTTGTGAAAAACAAATTCCTGAGGTTCCGATTTTATTTACAACTCCTTAAGTCTTGATCGTGTGTGAACTCATCTGCTCTGTTATTATCTGTTGTTACACACAACAGTCCTTATGAGACTATGTCTTTGGGATATTTTCTTATTCCATGTGTGATGACACAGAGAGGAGCTTCGAACTCCTTCCCCACATTCAGCTGCTTGAAAGGAGACAACGCTCGGGGGATGTCAGGTCATGAGAGCTGGGAGTAATCCCTCAAAGTGAAAGACAGAGACTCAGGAGCGAAGTCCAATCAGAGTGAGACGGGGTCTTGTTTATTGTTTATGGCACAGAGAATGGATTCAGGGGTCTGTAACATAGAGATTAAACAAGTTATGTGTTATCACGGCCATGACAGGAAAAATCAATTGATTGTGAAACTTCATCCTTGACCTTCAGAAACAGCAGTTTGACTTTTTAGCTATTTTGTAGTTGATTTCCACCTCACCAGCTTTTTACCGGCGCTTTCAACCGCCTGCATCAGTGAATAGAATCTGCTGAGTGTGCAGAGAAGTGAGCAAAGCCCTTTCTGCGGATGAAGACTGGAACAGGTTCTGAAGAAAACTTGTGAAATGCACCGTGACTTCAGATTTGTTTCTTTGGTGTTATCAGGATTACTCGAAAACTACTGGAGGGATTCCAGTAAAACTTAATAGAAGGCATCATTCGTCATTTTTGTGAATGTCACATGGAATCATTTAGAAATATTTATAAAAAGCAGGCGTGTGTAGAACGCTGACATTTGGTGCAGATCTTGAAAATCATTCAGATTTTGTGAATCAATAATAATCAATCAAATGTTCCTCCACGTCAGAGGAGGGATATTTTTCCTGTGTCTACTACACTTTGTAAAGAATGTCAGTGTCTGTGGAATCAATGTAAATGCAATATGGTGATAAAGTGGTGATTATCCAGTTATGTGCTCTCACAGTTCTCTATTTTAAATATTTTTAATAATATGACCTGCTCCTATCTTTAACCGATCCTTTAATTTCTGTGTTCTCCCTCCAGACGACTTTGCTGATGAAGAGGAGGTGCAGTCCTTTGGTTATAAGAGGTTTGGTAAGTATCAGGCGACTTCTTGATTTCCAGCAGCTGCAGCGTCGTTCACATCCCTCACGACACGAAAGGATATCAACTTTCCATATAACTGCATATAGGATATTTTCTTTAAATACAGTATTTTGCCTTTCTGTAACACGACCACAATAATTCCCTTTGGTTAAAAGAACACCACGCCTCATTTCTCAGAGTCAAACTTGTTTTTGGCCGCTGCTTTTATTTTGATTTCTCTGTTATAACAGAAGTGTGGTACAGGAGAGTGAGAAGCCACAGCATCCTGGGTGTTCCTGACCAGTCGGCAGAATTTACAACCTTATCTCCGAGTACTTTAGTTTCATTTGGCACAAAACTACACAAGATATCTTCATCTGAAACTGAAAGAATTAGTCCCATGATGGCTCGTGCTCATTTCCTTTTCTTCTAATATCCTGAATGTATCTGGTTTGCAGAAACTGCGAGGACCACAGCGGCCAGAATTTCCAGACAGGTTCTCAAATTTATACTATTATATATATATATATAAATATATAAAACTCCTCAGCACATTCAGAACTGATACATTAGCACATTCCTGGAGTTACAGCGGATCTCCTGACTCCAGCCACAGTCATTTCCACCAAGCAGAACTGCAAAATATACAAAACCTACAATCAAACACCTCAGACGTTTTTTGCCTGAGTGGTTGAATTTGGTCTCAAGAGACAGAATGTATCATTTATAGTAATTCAAACAAACAGTCACACTCTGCTTTATCTGAACTGATCATTGAAGGTCTCAGGCTTTTCTCACAGAGTCAGAATGAGCCAAACATCTCACATTAGCAAGCATTCAGTCCCTCAGCTGATAATGACTCAATCGATCCCTTTATATACCACTTATCCTTTAATGGTGATTAAATACAGGAGCCAGTCTCTGCCGACGTTCGCTGAGAGGTGAGGCACACACTGGACATGTCGCTATAGCCACTATATAACAGCAGTGACATAAAAAGACAAATAATCAATCACACTCACATTCACACCTTCAGGAAATCTAGAGTTTGCATGTAACCTCAGCAGCATGTCTTTGGACCGTGGGAGGAAGAACAAACCCACACAGACACAGCGAGAACACGCAAACTCCACACACGCAGTTACAATTTCAGGATTTTTGTCTTATTGTAGAAAAATGCTTTTTGTTTCTAGAGACTGTGATAATACTAAAGGTTGATTTTGATTTGATTTGATTCCTTTGTCTTTGGAGGACAGCCCAGAACCTGCAGTATTAAGAGTGGTTGTTGGTTCTCATTCATTTTCTACTACTACTCTAAAGCTGCTTTCAGACATTCACTGAACTCCAGAGATCCTACGCAGTTTCTCTGCAGGAGGTGTATATGCGAAACGTAAATGTCCGAGTGAGAGCCTCTGGAGTTTCTGCAGACTTTCTCCGCCTGGCCTTCTACTACAAACAAATAAAGTAAACTGTGTGATGATGGATAGCTGGACAGACACGATTGTAGAGCTCTGCACAGCAACATACTTTACATCCACTGAAGGTTGAATAAGACGTTCTGTAACTTGTTAATGCAAACCACTTTATTTGTTTTTTAATTTGCTGTGTGACGCAGCGTGCCCTCGTTTCTTGGACGTTTCATTGCTGCTTACATTTCTCTCTGTCATTACTCCAGTGTGATGAATCAGTGTCTCCCTGCTTCTGTCCCGGAGCAGAGATCCAGTTTCAACTCTCTGGGTTGAAATGGTCTCAGCTTCGTCTCAGTCCCTCTGGTTTAAGAGGTGTGTGAGAGCGTGTGTGTCGCTTCAGCTCTCAGCAGCCATATATCATGACGTGTGCGTCCACAGTGCGTGTCATCACATTCGTTTTACACATGTTCACATCTGTGCACATAAATTAGCGTGTGAAATTTAAATATATTGTATCCAGATTGAAATAATGGCTTGATAAGAATACTGCACTGACAATTAATCCTGTCAGTACTGTGTTCAGTACTACTAAACATAAGAAACTTCAGGGGACTGATTTCTATGAGTGTTTTTAATTTGGGGACCTTTGGGCCTTGGCAGAAGTATCCTATTGATTCATTCTTATTTCACAGGAAAACAGGCGTGTTTTACAAACTGTCAACCTGTAACGTCTCCACTACACATACTTGCTAAAGAAATATGTCGTGCTGCTTCTCACATGTCCACGTTGTGCAGAGGAATGAGGTCCCTGACTCATTTTGACATCTGCTTTCCACAAGAGTGAGTCCAAACCTGAGGAGTTGCTGCACTGCTTCCTGAGTCCTTACTGGAAGTTTACTCAAGTCTATAGAGAGGGGGGAGAGGGAGCAGGCATTGTGGGCCTTCACGACTGGACTGTGCTGTGTCAGCAAGGGTGAGGGAAGAGGGGGATGGGAAAAGAGAAAAATCCCGCTTCATGTGGAGACCATTATATGAAGGAGTTATTATTCATTTCAATAGTTTAAAACTGTCTCTTTATTCTAATCTTCCTCTGTGTTCACATTTTGTTTCCACTTTTACTTCTTGCCTGATTCACGGGAGCAACATTTGTCAACAGTTTCATTTTCATACGAGGAGACGCATTCCTTGTCCGACTTATTTTGGGAACAAAACAGCAAGTGGTTTTAATTTACAGGGACTTTATTACCAGAAAAGAATGTTTTCAGAGTGCCTGCCTGTTACTCACAGCCCCCTCCGGGGCCTGCATGCATGCAGTGCGTGTTCTGTTGTCCTAATAAAAGATTACTCGCTCGTGTTTTCAATAAAGAGCGGAGCCATTCTGCGGAAGAAGAGCGGCAGAAAACATTAAAGCCTCACAACGTTTATGTGGCAACAACAGCGGAGACGGATTAAACAACACAGAACGCTGCTGAGTTGACTTGTTGTTGATCTTATTCCAGTTCTGCAAAGTTTAAAGCAGAGGACTGTGAGCGGCCAGGAGGACACACGGTCAGCCCGGGATTGTCCAATTACAGACAGGGAGGAATGCATCCCAGATGAGGCACAAATCACTGTTAGTGCCGAGACAGGCAGACGTAGGTCAGCTGTAAGTCGGGTGAACTGACCCCTGCACTTAAGAGCAGTCCTTTGTTTAAGTCTTCATACAACTGATAGTAACTCAGTGGCAGATGGTGATAAGACATGAAGTCTGGTGCAGTTCATCTCACCCGTCAGCAGAGGAATGTGTTCACATCTGCTGAACATGAGACCGACTTATAAAATATCATAAGAGACAATTACGACTTGGGGGAAAGTATTTCAGCGGGGAATGACTGAACCCAGGAGAGTGTCAGCACAATTGGGTTTGGAGGTTTTCTGGAGTTTGCCTTTCACATAGGAACAATGCAGCAGGAGATTTTCTGGAGTATTCAGGTGACGGGTGACGTCTGGGAAGAGCTTTGCAAGGTGAATCCTCTGGACAAAACCCTGCTGTATTCTCACATGGGCTCACTTTGACTTTAAGTTTCACGCTCTCACATACAGCCCCTCCGTACGATTTCAGGAAAGTAGCTGGAGTTCAGTACATGTCTGAAAACAGTTTTAGTGACAGTTGTGCAGAGACAACAGAATATTAGCATTCCTACAAATTCTAATCATTCTGGACAATTCTATCAGGGGTACCAGCACAGGAAGCACGTGTCCCTTATGTAAGCACAGTGTGTCCGAGTATTTTCCCACACTGCTGCTATACTGGCAGCTATACTGGTAGTTTATTCCCACAAAGAGCAGACAATGTTTCCATGCATTGAATTTCACATTCAAGTCCAAGTTCCTCATTAAAGAGAATCAGGAGGAAATTGGCTTCTATGATCAGCCTTTGTCCATTTTGTTTTTTGGTATTGAGTGAAATGGAGAACAAGTATGTGCTGCAGCTTCACAGGGGATTGAGACAAGCGCGACTGGTTGTCGTGAAGTTGTTGGTCCAGCGTGTCAGGGGACGTCTGCATGGTTGAAAATGTCTTGACTTCCCAATTTCTGGCAACCGAGTGCCTTCTGAGTCGTCGAATGTTTCGTGTCATAGAAGAAAATCGAATCCTGTTGGGACTCAGTCAGTTTGTGGGAACAGTGTTTGCAGGTGGTGAGTGGTCACACAGTGTGTCTCACTTTCATACAGTAGACTGGAGTTAACAATTCATCTTTGACGTCTTCAACCATAACCATTAGTTTAATGCACAATTTCTCACAATCATAACACAAACTCTGCCCGGTTCCTCTGGGGCACAAGTCCAGGTCCATCTTCTCTGGTGAGTGTCACAGCTTCTGGCACTGATCTCCTGAGCCACCTCCACACCTCTGTCTCCTGCAGCTGGATGCAACCACGCACACCCTCATGGCGAAGGCTGAACCACCATGACACGGTCTGGTCTATGGAGGACATCCCATATGTATCACCTGCTTGTCCCGCCTGTACTTCAACATCATTAGATACTTCTAGCTGCTGCACTCACTAAATTCCAGTAACTTGGGATTTGTTGACCCAAGAACGATCTAAAAATTGAATCCTCTGTCGCTCAGGTTGTATTTGTTGGTTGCGTTTGAAGCTGCCTTTGAATTGGGACAGTCTTCTGAAGGATGCAGCCCCTGAATGCTCACACAGCTAATGTCAGTGAGAAAGATATAAAACAAGACAGCTGTAGAGTAGCAGAGGAGCTTCTGTCAGTCAGTTTATATTTAGCCGTAGTTGTTTTGACGAAACTCAGCTTAACCATCTCATCAAACCTCCCTCGTGTCCCAGAGGGAGACGTTGGTCAACGCTAATGACCTGCCTGCAACCTGCTGTCGTCTGATTGGGTGTTTTCTCTCACATAATGGATGCTGAGACCTCCAATCACAGCAGGTTTTGGCTCAGTCGCAAAAACAACACACACAATATTGGAAGCATCTCACTCCCATTTTCTGTCCGACAGGCTGTGTGAGCAGGTTCTGCTCAGGGCTCTGCAGCAGTATTTCACTTGATGGAAGTCTTCTGGCTCCTGATGTGGCCAACATCAACCCTGCTGC